GTAGAGAATTGCAGAAGAGCCAAGAAGGTGAGATGATGTGAGAATACATGAGGAAATTCTAGAGAATGGAAAAAAAGAATTGGAGGATAAAAGGAAGGAATAGGATGAATTATTAAGAAATCAGATTCAGTTGTCATTTACACAGTCATAAAACAGGGGAGTAAAAACACTAAAATTATGTCCTCCTGTTCATCTGAGACCCTTAGATTTGTCACATGGATTTGTTCAGGTTTTTTCATTTCCCTTTTCATCTTCCACTTCACTTTTAGTGTGAAATCTAGGCTTCAATCAGGAATTGAACAAAGGTTTATTTTCTTGAAAGATGTAGGTTGTGAGGGAAGGGAAGGGAAGGGAAGGGAAGGGAAGGGAAGGGAAGGGAAAAGGAGCAGGTATTTCTGTGGACATTATTAAGATGGCTTTTTTTTTGTTCTTACCATCTATGTTCTCCTACAAACATTTACTACAACTAAGCTACCAACTCCAGGCCTCTTTCTATATCTTGTGCTTTCAGTTTCTTCAGAGACGCGTTCTACACAGAACAAAATGTGAAAGCTAAGCTACCATTCCTTGCCATCATGCCACATGCAAAGTGCCGTCTACTTAAAGCATGATTTAAGCAAAAATGAGTTAGGGTGAGGGGAATAGGCACTCATCCAGGGAACAGAAAAGAGATCTTCTACACTACCACTCTCTAGTCTGGAACTCCTCGACTTCTGGGGCAAGTTAGGCACTGGCAGGACAAGGTACCGGGGGACACTGCCACTGAGCTACGGCTGCAGAGCAGCAAACCTTTGTGTGTCCAGGCTGTCAGGTCTGCTAGCACTCTAAGACAGGTCTCACAGGGAGAAGTGATGGCCACCCTCCGTCCTCATCAAATGAAAGGGAGCTGATGGCACCAGTATGGGGCCAGACTAGATCATCCTGTAAAGTGGGGTAGAGACAGTTAGAGCGCTGAACACAGGCTAGGTTACCTACAGACAGTAAAAGCTTGCTTTTGGTTTCTAGAAAGACAAACTACAAAAGCTATGCCCTTGGTAGCTAAGGTGCTTCTCAGATGACACCTGGTGGACAAAAACAAAAGAGATGAAAGCAGCCCGCCTTCACAGTGCAGAACTGTGCCATCCCTGCTCGCATCCACACAGTCTGCTGGTGTATTGATCAGGCGCCCTCCCTGCTCTGCTTATTCCCCAAAGTGCATTACTACAGCACCTTAGAATAAGCACGTATCCTCCACGTTCCTGTAATAGCTTTTTTTTGCACTGCTTACATTTTTTTTTGTTTGTATTCTGGCTGATGACCTGAGTTGGTTTAATTCTGACCTGTGACTTGGAGGCTAGAGTGGTGTCATTGTTTTCAGAAATAAAAATTCAAGAAAAGCCCATGTTGTTTAGCAGCAACTGGGTGTTTTTATAGTCTACAATACTTTGACAATTTTACAAATTTGTTCGCAAGAGGGCAGTTGTACCCATAGGATTAAATGCTTTGGTTTTTTCTGATCATTAATTTACTCTTTGTCTTTTAAACTATGCTCAGTTTGCTCCTCTAATACCAGCTGTCTTTTCTCACAACAAAAACCCACACTCTGAGTTCACCTGGAGAGAAACATCTACTTAGGGAAGTCTTTCTTCTGGGGAGTGGATGCTTATGTGTCCTGGTAAGATAGGTGGTTTCCTCAGGGATCTCATGGATCGGACTACAACTTTACTGTGCAGTCCTTCTTCTGTACTTGCCTTGAAGGATTTCAGAAAAATAGGAGATACTGATGCTGAACCAATTCTGTGATAGAGAATGCCTCTTCCGTAAAGGTAAGTGGTGATGATCAATTCTGTTATTGCTGGCATTGCATCTTCCAGGTTAACAGGGGTTTTTTCTGTTATTTGGGCTTTATTGTTCTATGCATACCCAGTTTCTTTGAATTTTAACAGCTTTATTTTTTTCTCAGTGTACTTCTGTGCTTTATTTTTGTGCAAAATCTTGAAAGCTTTTATGAAGCAAAACACAGACAGAAGTCAGGGATTTGCTGACTTCAATCACCAAACTAAGCTGAGAAGGAGTGTGGGAGAGGTCAGGATGTAATTACGCTATGTAATTACCTACCTGGTTTCTTCTCGATCTAGATTACCTGTTCAGAAGAAGTACAGAGAGGCCAACCAAGAGTTGCGGCATTGTATTTGGTCTGGCTGGGACGGAGTTAACATTTCCCACTGCAGTCCACGTAGAGCTGTGCTTTGTGTTTGTAGCTAGAAGGGTGTTGATAAGACACCACTGCTTGGGCTGCTGCTGGGCAGTGCTGGCACAGCATCAGGGCTGTCTCTCCAACACCCCCCCCCCCCACCCCCAGCAAAGGCCAGTGGGTTGGGGGTGGCCCAGAGGTTGGGAGGGGACACAGCTGGGATAGCTGACCCAAACTGACCACAGGGATATTCCATATTATGTGACGTTGTGCTCAGCAATAAAGCTGAGAGAAAGGAGGGGGGTGGGAGAATTCGTTATTAAGGTGTTTGTCTTCTAACTGCTACATGTACTTCCCAGGAAGTGGCTGGACATCGTCTGTTGATGCAAAATAGAAAATAAACCTTTTTGCTTTCCTTCACTTCCGAGTGCAACCTTTGCTTTCTGCCTTTATCTTGACCCATGAATTTTTCGTCTTGTTCTCTCCCCCAGCCCTGATGAGGAGGGGGAGTGATAAGAGCGGCTTGGTGAGCACCTGGTGGCCAGCCAAGGCCAACCCACCACAAGCATACCGTCCTGGCCCAGCTGAAAGCCAGGGTTCATCATCATACCAGCATCACAACTTGATGCCTGACATCCCAGGGGCTTAGTGCCAGAAGTAGCCAAGCCTAGCTCTGCCCCAATACCTCAAATACCTCTGCACATGCTTTCCAGGGCATCTCTAAAAAGTCCACAGGCCTCTGAGTAACTCACAAATAAAGTATGTGGCAAAAAATAACATAGAATGACCATCCAGAAACTGGTGAACTACTGAACAGTTACCTGAATTACACTATGACCAGAGGCACCTTGTTAAAATGCTCACTGAAGACAGGTGCTTGCTGTGGTGCTTACTTGCCCTGACCAGTTATCGGTTTGCTGACCCTGATAACAGAAACCTTGGAAGGGCTGACAGTCACCAAAGGAAAGCAAATACAAACGTATCTCTAGAAGATATATCTCTTACATCCAACAGTGAAGGACAAGAAAAGCATTGAAACACTGCTGTGGAGAGAACACTTTTACAAGCCATTTCAGGTAGCAATCTGAGAACAATCCTCCTTAATTTATGCTGATGACTATTTTCAGGTTTTGAAATGTTCTCCTTTACTTGTTAATTCCTATTCAGCAAATACAAAGAAATAAAATGTAAGTGCAGTCATAAAATATAAAGCAGGAAAAATATATCAGGAAAGTGGTCTTAAAAACATCAATTAGGCAATAAAATGTCTTCAGCTTGGGCCATTTGGTTAGCATCTGTGAAAGCTTTTGTGTTCTGCAGCTGGGAAAACACCAGTTCATAAAATTTCTTTAGCTAGCAAAGCCACTGCACGAATAGATTATTTCTGTTCTACAGAAATGTTAATTGGCAACTCATTAAAAGTTTGATTAGTATGTGCGAGTGAAAAACAAGATCTTGAGATCCCAAAAATGTATTGAATATGAAACTCTTCATTTTCTGTCAAGATAACGAGGATATATTCCGGTCTTCCTGAAGGAAGCGATGAATACAAAACCTTAAATCCTGACATAAATGAAACCAGAGCCAGTAACAAGTGTGCTCCATGACTTGAAAAAGGAAAAAAAGTGTTAAATCATATGTGCAAGACGGTTAACCAGTCATAGTCAAATTACATCCATACCAGGTTGTCGTGGTTTCAGCTGGGATAGTTACATTTTCTTCCTAGTAGCTGGCATAGCGCTGTGCTTTGGATTCAGTACTAGAAGAATGCTGGTAACACACTGATGGTTTAGCTGTTGCTGAGCCGTGCTTACACCAGTCAAGGGCTTTTCAGCTTCCCCTGCTCTGCCAGGGGCACAAGAAGCTGGGAGGGGGCACAGCCAGGACAGCCGATCCCAAATGGCCAAAGGGCTGTTCCAGACCATATGGCATCATGCTCAGTGTATGAAGTGGGGGGAGCTGGATGGGGGGCAGCAATTGCTGCTCGGGGACGGGCTGGGCATGGGTCAGCAGGTGGTGAGCAATTGCATAGTCCATCGCTTGTTTTGTCTATTCTTTTACCATTTCTTATTACTTTCTCTTCCTCTTCTGTCTTATTGAACTACCTTTATCTCAACCCACGAATTTCACTTTTTTTGTTTGTTTGTTTTCTGATTTTCTCCCCCCGTCCCACCGGGGAGGAGGGGAGCGAGCGAACGGCTGCGTGGTGCTCAGCTGCCGGCCGGGTGACACCACAGCAATGGCTCTTCCCAGCTAACAGCAGCCACGGCGAGAAGAGCGGGGACACGGCGCTGCCCTTCAGCCAGCACCAACTTGCTGCCAGCCCTGCGAGGGCCCCCCGCCTGCAGGACTCCTGGTGGGCCCACCGGTCAGGCCAGCGCTGCCCACCGGGGCTTCGGCACC